TCACTTCCTGTCGCCCCTCAACCAAGTGATAAGAACAAGGCAGCCTATGAGTTGACACACACACACACACCGTTTCAACCATGGTGCAAGTATTGCCTGATGTTTCTGACCCTGCACATGATGCCCAGCGTGAACTTGAACACCCAGTAGTTTAATGTGATTCCTTTTCATGGAACGTGGTGAAGAAGATGGAATGGTGGCATTGTTAATGGTTGATGTATGGTCCAGGTATGTTTCTGTGATGCCTTTCAAACTTCAAAACATTCAAACTGCTGGCAATTCCCTGATGAAGCTCCCCAATGAAATTGGAAGAGCAAACCGGGTGGAAGTTGCAGGAGACAATGAGTCTGTTCTGGCAGCAGGGATGCCAGCCAGATTCTGTTTTGGGCTGGAAACGATCCTCACATGGAATCGTATGAGGACAAGCGTGGCCGAGCGTTTCCCAGACAGTGACAGGACTCCAAAGGACTTTGCTCTGTCACCGCGAAGCTGCAATGCAAACCTCTATTCCACTGGGCAGCAGTGCATTCTGCTTGGCTTTACAATCGATACCATGTTCATGCAAACCTGGCAAACTGCAAAGGGTAAAACCTAGGAATTAGGTAGCTACTGTAGATAGCTAGGCAGTTCACTAGGTAGAGACGGCATGGCATGACAGCAGTCCAACCGCAGCCCCCCCCGCACAACCGCGCACCCAAGGCAGCAAAAGGTGCCACTGTGCTGTGGCAGCTGTGTAACTAGCGGGGTAACTAAATAGAGCCCAATACGCTGACCACTACCATCTCGGCTTTTGCATGGTAGCGGAGCCGCGTGGGTAGCCCCACCGCTCCAGGTCAAAGAGCGGGCAGCTCCGCCGGCCAAGGCCGCGGGCAGCCCCGCCCAAACTGAGGACAAGCCTACGTGGCCAAGGCTGCGTAGGAGAGTCCAAACAAAACGGCTTCTCGGGATAACACCTGGGAATCCTGGAATAGGTCGACCCCTTGGGACGACCGTGACTGGCAAGCTCAGGACTGGGCAAGCCGTGGCTGGGTAGACTACTCCCAGCAAGAACCCAGAGCTCCTGCAACAAGGGACGCTGGGGCAACCACTGACAACAGTTGGTGGGGACGAAGCCGACCAGACACGAATCGATCTCGAAGCAGTCGATTCGCCCAAGAAAGGAATCGGCGAGGACATCGCTCAGTGGCCAGGACAGAGGCCAGGATCCAAAGGGGTCAAGAGCGAAGAGCCGCACGTGAGGCGGCAGACGCAGCAACAGCAGCAGGGCCAGGCCAGTCCACGAACGCGCCACCTGCTGAGCCAACACCGGCCGACCCATCGGCCGATCCACCAGCCGATCCTTCGGCTGAGCCAGACCCACCGGCACCAGAGCCGGGGTCAGTGCCATCTTCGGCGCTGGACATCGGGTCAACACCCGACGCACCCGATGTGCCTCAGACCAACCTAAGGGTGGAAGAGGCCAAGAGGGAAGTGCGGGTAGATCCGCCTCCGGGACGCGCTGCACTCGAAGCAGACGAGCGCGCACCGGTGAAGTTGGTCCCACAAGCTGATAGGGCCAGCTCAAGGGCTGCAAGGAAAAGAGCCCGACTTCAGAAGGACTTGGACGAAGCCAAGCAGGCGATTGATTCGTCTGAAGCCCCAAGCCTCTCAATAGAAATCCTGCAAGACGCAGGCATAGAAGTGGTTGACTGGGAAGCTGACATCTCAAGTGAAGAGAGTTTTGAGATTTGTGTTCCAGAACCTGTGTTTCAGGGCAAGGACCCAGCTGACATCCCACAGCCACACGTGACGTCAGCAAGCAGCTCCAAGGAGCCGCTGCAGAAGTTGGCCGCACCTCCGCTGTACGCAGCGGAAGCCCCCGCGCGTGCGAGCCAGCTCACTCCAACAGTCAAGCAAGAGTTCAACAAAGCTCTTGACTTGTGTGAACAAATACAAGGGGCTTTGAGCCAAAGCCAGACTGAACACTACGAGGTGGTAGACGAGAGACCACCAAAGTGCAGAGAAGAAGATGGAGCAGCAAGCCGCGCAGATCCAACTGCAGATGGAGGCTCTAGCGAGTCAGGTTCAGGCCTTGACTACCGCTCAGCAGACCCAACAACAGGTGAATGCGCAGCTGCAGCTCGAGAAAGAGCAGCTGGAACAACGCCTCAACGTCGCGTTGGGACAATTGCAGCAATCCTTGCAGAACGGAGGCGCAGTAGGCGCAGTTCCCCAGCCCAGCGCGGGGAGCTCCGCCGGCACCAGTAAACCTGTCAGTCATATAGACGTGCTCAAGTCTGTGAAACAGCCTCAGTCCTTAAAGGACAGGGAGCAGTGGGAACGCTTCACCTTTCAGGTGGAAACCTATCTGGCACTGATCAACGAAGAATTCCCCACAGACTTGGAAGAAGCACGCAAAAGCACCACGTTTGTGGACCCTATAGATATGACTGATGACTGCAAGGCACGTGGCAGACAGCTTTTTGCCATGCTGACTTCCTGGACCCAGGAGTTAGCAGTAGCTGTGAAGATAGCTCGTGGAATTCGAGAACAGAACGGTTTTGAGTTTTGGAGGCTTCTGTACCGAGAGTTAGCCCCAGATAACCACTCGAAGAGTTTAATCTGGAGACGCTCGCTGCTTAGCCCAAAATTTCCCTCAAAAGAGACGGAATTTTCTGCGGCGCTCCAAGAGTGGGAGGCCGACTTAGACAGGTACGAAGCCGAATACGGCGCACAGAAAGCAATAAGTGATGAAGATAAACGTGCCGTAGTTCTGACCGAAGCTCCAATTGCCCTGAAACAGCACCTTTCCATGCACATAGCCACGCTGATCACCTACCAAGCTGTGCGCGAGGTGGTGGTGTCATACTTGCAAGCCAAGCAGGTGTGGAAGCCATCGGCCGCGTATGCGGGTAGCACCGCACGCAGTGATCCCATGGAGATTGGACTCGTCCAACACAAGGGAAAAGGTAAGGATAAAGGTGGCAAAGGAAAGGATGGCAAGAAGGGCAAAGGGAAGGATCAGAAAGGAAAAGGGAAAGACTCGAAAGACAAAGGTGGAAAAGGTCAAGACAGCAAAGATCGCTGTGCAATCTGCTGGAAGGCCGGCCATACCACTGAGAAGTGCTGGTTCAACACAAAAGGTCAGGAAAAGGGAAAGGGTAAGAAGGCAGTAGCAGCCGTGAACGAAGGTGACACCGCCTCCATTGTATCGGCTGGTCCCTCGGCATCGCAGGTTGGGGGCAACAATAGCGTCATCACCCTTCCTTCCTCGTCTTCGACGTCGTACAGAAAAGACAAGAACGTCAGTAAGATCGGGGAACACCGACTTCTCATGGTAAAGCCCGGCCACAGCGGGCAGCACCGCGTGGAATCAGTTTCACCTCAAGCCATTTTGGCAACTCAAACGGCTGGCAGCACAGGAGTCAGCCAACACCAGCAAAATGCCATTTTGGCAGAACAGGCCATTTTGGCCAAGTGGCAGGCCATTTCGGATTGCAAAGACAAACCAGGCTGGCATGACCTTGACACGGACACCAAGGTGTACGTACGTGGTACGGGGGAAAGCTGGCACTCAAAGGAGGTATGTCACACCCGGGCCTCAATACTCAGATTTCACTCTGAGGTCCACCTGGCAATGGGACTATGCCGCCGATGCATGGGAAACCAGGGAGCTTGGAAGGAAATGGAAGCTTCTTCAAAACCCACATAAAGGCATTTGCGGGAAGCAAAGTATGGGCATTGCATGCTTTCCAGAGAAGCACGCCCAAGATAGCCAGGGTAGCGAGCAGAGGCACGCTATTGGTGGACACTGGAGCATGCTGTTCGGTCTGCACCCCTGAGGCGTTTCAGACAGCAGACCTCGACCCAAGCGCCACAGAGGAGCTCTACACAGTAGATGACACACCGCTGAAGGCGTGCGGGGAGATCCGCCCCAAGTTGCGACTCGGAGAGCAGCTTCAGGAAGAGGCACAGGTCACCTTTCAGGTGGTCGAAGGTGTGAATGAGAACATCCTGTCAGTTAATCGAGCCCTGGACGTTGGAGCCAGCGTCCACTTCGAAACTGACAACTGCTACATCCAATGGGCAGATGGCAGCATCGCCACGTTCCGGCGAGAAGGGAGACAGTTCCTGTTGCCCTACGAAGACTTGGATGGCGGAAAGGGCCAGGTAAAGGTCGCAGCCATCAACCCTGAAGATGAAGAAGCGATGGCAGTTCACCGCCACGCACTCCAGGAAGATGAGGAAGCCGACGCTGTGCGAGAGTTTGCCCAGCAAGAAGCGGACGCCGCTATGCAGGCGGAAGCGGCCTGCTGGCCGACTTGGAGGAAGCGGCAGACGAGCCGGAGCCGCCTGAACCAAGAGGGCTACCTCAGCCGGAAAGCCCGACAGAAGAACAGCGACAGCAGCATCGGTTAACTCACCTGCCATTCGCACCATGGTGCGAGGAGTGTGTGAGCGGGAAATCCCGCCAAGACCAACACAAGCGAGACCAGTCGACAGAACGAGATCAGGGTGTCTCGGTGGTCCAAATGGACTACTTCTTTCTGTCTCCGGAACGGGAAGAAGAGGTAGAAGACGAATCTCGTCTTGTGACCATCTTGTGTTTGACCGATACCGGCACCGGATGGCCATTGACACTTCAACTCCCCAACAAGTCTGTGGAGGTGGCTCAGTCAAAGTACTGCCTGCAGAACATCGACCTCTACTTCAAGAACTTGAAGTATGACAAGATCATCCTCCAGCACGATGGCGAGCCCGCCATAAGAGCCCTGGCAAACAGCATCCAACGCCATGTGGGTGCATCCAAGGTCTCTGTGCGGGAAGCTCCGCCGAAGCAACACCAGAGCCAAGGAACTGTGGAGTCGATGAACGGATTCGCAGCTTCGCAAATCCGGACTCTGTGGTTAGATGTCAGGCAGAGGTATCCTGAGCTGGACGTGAGCAGCAACCTCACGCCATGGCTTGTGCGCCACGCAGCGTGGCTCATAGCCAGATACCACACACGCAGCAGAGATGGCATGACGCCATACAAGCTGGTCACAGGAGGTGACTACAACCATCCTGTGCAAACTTTCTGACGAAACACCCCAAGTCAGGGACAGAGGGAAAGCAAGCCCTACCTGGATTGGGCATGTGCGAAGCTCACGACGGAGAGGATGTGCTATCATCCACAAAGCGTATCTCCGTCAAGGTCTCGACTGTGACCAAGCAGCATGCTTGGAAGACACCGGTCCCAGCAAGCGTTGCTTGGATTGACAACAGAAAGGACCGAGCGGGTAGCACCGCCCCGAAAACAAAGGGCAGTGTGAACTACATCAAGTCGTTGGTGGTTCTCAGCCAGATCACCGCAGTGCGAGCGCAGGGACAAGGAAATCAATGGATCAATCCAATTGTCCTGTACATCCTCGCGCTCATAGGCTTGTTAGCCATCTATGTGAAGCTGTATCAGCTAGGAGTTCTGATCACAGACGGGCTATTTCCGCCTGAAGGCGAAAACCAACCTGTTTGGGAGGTTGAAGGAGCCGAAGTGCACCTTCAGCTGGATAGTGCTACGGTGCGCCTCAACATCACCGCCTACCGAGACGGTAGACAGCTGAATATCAGCCAGACGGTGAATGCGCCAGCGGCAGCCCCGCGGCAAGGTTCCGCGGAAGCCCCGCAGCCTCAACCGGCGGAAACCCCGCGGCAGGAAGAACTAACTCCCAGTCGCATCGAGCGCTGGTCAGAGGAACAGTGGGCGCAGAGAGGGGCAGAAAGCAACATGACCCTCCAGGAGCTGATCGAATGGCGCAGGCGCGAAGAAAGGCTGATTCATGGGCAAGACCCAGACTCCAGCCAAGATGAACCAGGTGAGTCAACTTCGCACAGTGCGGACAGCCCCGCCTCTGAGCGGGATGTACCGCCTGAGCGGGAGGAACCGCCTGAGCGGGTAGCACCGCCCGAGCGGGCGGAGCCGCCGATCTCCAGTTCCGGCCCGGAGCTCTTGACGGGAGACCCCGCCATTGAGCGGGAAGCTCCGCTAGATCCCTTTGATGGGATGAGTCCAAATGAGCTCCAGCAGTGGCGCGAGGCCGAGAACAGAGTTCTGGGGATCGAAGGCGGCAGCTCCAGTGGCGGCAGCCCTTTCTCTGGCCACAGCTAGCCAGGAGAGGTATAGCTACGTCTCACCAAGAACCCGGCAGTGAGCCATGCCACTCTAAGGAGGGTGGCAAACTGCAAAGGGTAAAACCTAGGAATTAGGTAGCTACTGTAGATAGCTAGGCAGTTCACTAGGTAGAGACGGCATGGCATGACAGCAGTTCATGACCGCAGCCCCTTTTGCACAACCGCGCACCCAAGGCAGCAAAAGGTGCCACTGTGCTGTGGCAGCTGTGTAACTAGCGGGGTAACTAAATAGAGCCCAATACGCTGACCACTACCATCTCGGCTTTTGCAAAACCTGAAAACAATTCCTTTTCAGTCTTTATTTGGTAGGCCCCCCTACACGGGACAGATTGTATGCTTTGGTCAAGCAGTTTTTGGATTGGATCCCAAGGCTGGCAAGTATAGACCAGAATGGATGCGTAGTGCTTGACTTGGAAAGCATGCCTCCGACATGGATCTTCCTTCAATCGATGGTCAAAATGTGGTGAAAACAAAGGCAACTAGGAAAATCGGAGAAGAGTGGGTTGCAACTTTGATCTTGGGAATTGAAGTGATGCCCAATCAATTTTGTTGGCACCGGCAGACAAAGAACAAGCAAAGCAGCAAAATGATTATCCCACTTCCAGCTCCCATTCCTCAAGTTGTTGATGAGGAGGCCGAGGCTGTGTGTGATTATGTGCCCTCAGAAAGTTATTCAGCTTCTGAAGCGTTGGATGAGCAAGCAACTAATTGATCAGTAGGAAGGTCAGGGAGGCGCACGAACATGGGAGAACAGAAGCGATGCCGTCCTCACCAACCAGACATGTAGTCTGGCCAAAACTGGGGCTGGCCCATGTGATGAAATTAAGAGCGCAACGGTGTGGTGAGCATTCGAAAGGAAACCTCACCAAGGTGGGGTGTCACATTTTAGTTGTGCCACCCAAACGCATGATTCAGGTCCCCAAGTGGCAGTTGGAACATACAGAGAAGATTGGCATGGACAGTTGCATTCATGACAGGGTGACCCGCACAAATCAGAAATTTCTATGATGTTTGCACAGTGCCTTGAAAAAACTCAGACAAAAAGGGGCGCTTGAGTGGCGAGTTTGTTTTTGAAAAAAATGCAATTTCATACCTTCAAGGTACGCCTTTGAAACCGCCCTTACAACGGTGAGGTGATTCTAAACCAACATCACGGAAAAATGAACAGTGGCGATTTGCCATGTGCATAATCTTTGTGACAGGGGAGAGCGCGCCCACATACGCAACAGACTCCAGCGAAAAAACAAGTAGGGGTCTTTGACGGACTCCGGAATTTAAGCTGGTACACTGTCAACTTGACATGCGCTGATACAGACTTGGAGGCATTGGAAATGCTGTTGGAAGCAAACATTATACAAAAAATGTTGCATAGGGTTGCGGTGTACATGTACTGATCCTGTCCCATGGAGGCGTGAATTTTTGGTAGTCCTACAGGTTGGTTGTTTTTGATTGTTTTTAGCCTTAGATTTGAGCCTTGTAGCCATTACAGACAAGTATTTGCTTCAGCAGCACATGGTTGGTAAATTCCCCGATGAAAACCCAAAAAAACTTGAGTACTTTCATGTTTGAGGCCCTTCCATAGTGCAAGGTCGACAGATTGGGTGCGGTTCCATTGTCATTTACAATGAATGTTTGATCGGCCAGGAAACCTGGAGTTACTTTCTTGTGTTTCGTCAGGTAGCATCTGAACTTTCTATCTCAGCAAATTCATGCGAATTGTGTGTTTGGTTTGCTCATTTTCTCCTGTGCCTTTTAATGGTAGTCGCCACTGCAGCAGCTGGCCCAAGTGGCATTTTCTGTAGAGGTCCCATGAAAGGTCTTGGGTGGGGGTGCTCAAATCAAATCAGTTTGCTTGCAGGTTTGTTTTTTTGTGGTTGGACAGTGGGAACGCTTGTTGACAAGATCACATTTTTGAGGATGCCTGGCACGGGGGCGCGTATCAAGTATGAACCTCAGGGCGTACGACTTTTGGCATTGCTGGTTGGATTCCATATGTGAAAGATTTGCACCAAAAATTGGAGGCGAAAACCTCTTAGATGTCAATGGAAGGCAAGGTGAAACACCAGTGTTTGCTGTTTGTTTTTCTTTTACTCATGTTCTTTGTGAAAGGGTTTTTGTAGCACATCTGTCCTTGCCAGGTGGCATCACTTCCGTTTTTGGTGCGAAAGGCGACCCCGGCAAAGGCCCGGGCGGATGCCCCGGTGGCCCAGGCGGATGCCCCGGTGGCCCGTGCGGCCCAAGTGGCCCGTGCGGCCCAGGAGGCCCGGCTGGCCCCACAGGTGGCCCAGGTGCCCCGGGTGGCCCAGGCGGCCCGGGTGGCCCAGGTGGCCCGGGCGGCCCATGTGGTCCATGTGGTCCCTGTGGCCCATGTGGTCCATGCGGCATGGGAAAGGGCCCGATGAAGGGCTCAGGGTTCGGTGCTCAGGGGCCGGATGAGAACGAACTCGAGGTGTTTTTGTGTCCTTTGTTTTCGTGAATCAACTTGAATTCTTCTCTTAAGGCCTGGCAAAGGTCCACCTGGCAAGCGCCAAACTTATCAATTAACCAACTCATCCCTTGCCAAGTGTTTTGATAGAATCATATTACTGACAATGTATTCTCCTCACTTTCATGGCTGTTTAGGGATTCTTCGGAGTGTGATTTGCAGTGGTTCACAATGCTGTAGGCAAAAACTCGCGATATGCCAGTATTGGAAGGCCCTCGATATTTTATTGTTTCCTCTTTCAGTTATTTTTTGAACCGTTCACACCTTGTGACTTGTCTCGCGAGGAGGGACGATGCAATAGAGGTGAAATGTGCTCGTACGCACATGGAGACCATGAGCTTCGAACTCCTGCTCCGCCAATGCCACCGCCAGTTCCCCAGAAACCAAATTGCAAAATATTTCGTAACCCAACGATAGATGAGAGACCATTTTAAATTTAAAATATGATCTTCAGACAAGTAGATGGATGGATGGATGGATAGATAGATAGAGTGAGTGAGTATGGGGTGCAACTAAATTTTCCTTTTTTCCTGAGCTTTTTGTTTTTCTGTTTGAGGATGGGCATGAAAGGAGGCCCTCCCATCGGCAAAGGATCTCCTGCCTGGTTTTGCTTCGACTTTTGCCTCGAGTTGGGAGCCGATGGGTTTTACGAAGTTTTCTGGTTCCATGCCAGGTATGGGGCCTGGGGGAAAAGGAGGTCCACCAGGTCCAGGACCAGGACCTGGAGGCCTGGGAAGGATGGGATGGGTTGATTTTGGAGTTTTTTGCATGTTTTGAAAACATTTTGCAACAAACTTGTCCCAAATTTCCGTGTTTTTAGAGGTGAGGGAGAACTTGCCGCATGTGTGCCAGTGCAAGACCTTGCGCAAGGTGTTATGCCACCTCCTCCGATCCCGCAGAACCGAAAGACGCAGCTTTGTGCTGGGTTCCTAGTATTCCTAGCACATCATTTTGAGCTGACAAGGATCCAAGATCTTTTGGAGTTGGTAAAAGTGCAAGGCAGGTTGGAAGACAGTGAGACGGTGGGACAGTAGTAGCGCAAAGATATGTGGAGTGGACTGAGTGAACTGTCAAGGTCTACTTCAAGGACGGTCGTTGCACACGCGGCAATGCATGCAGTTGCAGCCTGAGATCAAAGTCACCAGAGCACAAAAAAAACCTTCAACAGTTCAACAGGAACAGAGCAGAGCTAACTGATTGAGAGCAAACTGTAGAATCTGATTGAGCAACGAGTATCTGCATACAGTATGCTAGACTTTGTCCTTATTTGAGCTCAAGCCTTTGCACTTACACCCAAGGTTAACCTGAGATTGGACAGCCCATTTTTGACACACCATGAACCCATGAAGTCTGCTTTGAACCAAGACTACGCTCATGGAGAGCACGAGCTGATAGACAGAGGCCGAGCATTATCAAGCCTACATAGCCATATCATATACTAATTTTTCCTTCATCTTTTGTGCACACACATTATTCATATTTCTTACAGACAGAGAAGATGTGTGTGTGTATATATATATACATACATACATACGCATACACATGCATTGTGCATATTTTCATAGGGAAGAATCAATTCTTGATGTCACTGTTACAGTGTTCTGTTTTAGGGCGTCCTCCAGAACGGCCTCCGCCTCCAGTTCGCCATCCTGTTAACAGCAGATTTGATGTGTGAGCCTTGGTATTTGATATCGGATGATATCTGCGGAGATGTCAAAATCTTTGAAGTTGTCACAGTCTCAGGTCAGATCTGGCCCTCAGGCATGGGGCACTTTGCCGCTTTGCCTATCTTCCACCATATTGTCACATGGTCCTTGCTGAAACAGAACGTTAACACCTTTGGGCACGTGATTAGTTTGTCACAGACTTGGCATTGAGCATCTCCTGGTGGTTTGCTGCAGACACAAAAGTCAGCAAACCTGGTCAGGTCCGTCCACCTCGTGATTCGCGGCCTTCCAGATCTAGGCAGCGAACAAAGCTGTGCTGTTTGTTGAGAGAAGTTGCAGCTTGAATTTCTTGCTCACTTCAGTCTGGAGTCCTTAAATCGTATTACGATGGTGATTTGCGGTCTGAAGAAATAGAGTGATATAGAGTGTCTTGTTGAGTGCAAAGTTTGCAAAAACGTTTTCTTACATTTAGCAGCTTTAGCAGTGAGCGTGGAAGCAAGGTCTCCAAGGCGACTGAAAAAGGTTGCCTTTGCTCGGCGTCAATCTCAGCATCTCTATGCATCTCTTATCGGGATAACACCACTTGGTGATGCACCCGGAGACAGAATCATTCACAAGGTCAGAGACGCTAGTGGCCATTGATCGGCACAAAGCCTAGCGATGAGAAGAAACGAGTTTCAGTGGACTGCGATATGGACCGAGTGTCATCAAGTCCTTACACACTTGAACGGATGCAACTGTGAGAGCCGTGAATGAGCCACAGACGAGCTAGAGATGGTCCCAGGAGATGTCTACTGATCCCTACTGTTTGACAAAGGTCAGACTGTGCCGTAGATGGTCCGCCTGTTGAAGAGCCTGCAGCTGTGCCTTGCACATGATTTGAGGAACTGCTCGTGCTTCGTATATTTTTGTATGGACTCTTCAGTAAGCTGTTGATCTTTTGACAGCAACTCATAAACTTTCCTCTCAGAAGGTCATTTCAAAGACAGCAGTTCTCATGGATGTGATGTTTTTCAGCTGGGCGAGTCATAGCGTGAGATAGCAGGCACCAGATGAGCCTGACCTTTCTGTCAATGGGTCTGCGAGCTTAGTGCAAACATGGAAAGCATCGGAGATTGCATTCGGCATTCGCTTGTCCATTTCAAAGCTGAACATTTTCTGTCCACGGTTCTGACATGGAACAGATTTGTGCCTACCATGAATGGTTCACAGATGGCATCCATCGACGACGGAGTCCATGCTTTTCCAGAGGTCGTCCACGCAGAAAGTTGGCGAGGACGCCAAGGCGGCCAGCACACAAAATGTCAATGCACCTTTAGCATTCCCATGGCTACACCATATCTACACCATGGCTACACCAGGGCTACACAATAGCTACAACACGGCTACACCAAAGCTACACCATGGCTACAACACGGCTACACCAAAGCTACACCATGGCTACACCACAGCTACGCCATAAATGCACCATAGCTACACCATGGCTGCACCATGGCTACACCATAGCTACACCATGGCTACACCATACACCATCTACACCAGGGCTACACCAGGGCTACACCATAGGTACAGCATGGCTACACCAGGGCTACACAATAGCTACAACACGGCTACACCAAAGCTACACCATGGCTACACCACAGCTACGCCATAAATGCACCATAGCTACACCATGGCTGCACCATGGCTACACCATAGCTACACCATGGCTACACCATGGCTACACCATGGCTACACCAGGGCTACACCAGGGCTACACCATAGGTACAGCATGGCTACACCAGGGCTACACAATAGCTACAACACGGCTACACCAAAGCTACACCATGGCTACACCACAGCTACGCCATAAATGCACCATAGCTACACCATGGCTGCACCATGGCTACACCATAGCTACACCATGGCTACACCATGGCTACACCATGGCTACACCAGGGCTACACCAGGGCTACACCATAGGTACAGCATGGCTACACCAGGGCTACACAATAGCTACAACACGGCTACACCAAAGCTACACCATGGCTACACCACAGCTACGCCATAAATGCACCATAGCTACACCATGGCTGCACCATGGCTACACCATAGCTACACCATGGCTACACCATGGCTACACCATGGCTACACCAGGGCTACACCAGGGCTACACCATAGGTACAGCATGGCTACACCAGGGCTACACAATAGCTACAAAACGGCTACACCAAAGCTACACCATGGCTACACCACAGCTACGCCATAAATGCACCATAGCTACACCATGGCTACACCATGGCTACACCATGGCTACACCATGGCTACACCATGGCTACACCATGGCTACACCAGGGCTACACTATAGCTACACCATGGCTACACCATAGCTACACCATAGCTACACCATGGCTACACCAGGGCTACACCATAGGTACAGCATGGCTACACCAGGGCTACACCAAAGCTACACCGTACCTACACCATGGCTACACCAGGGCTACACCATAAATACACCATAGCTACACCATGGCTGCACCATGGCTACACCATAGCTACACCATAGCTACACCAGGGCTACACCATGGCTACACCATGGCTACACCATAGCTACACCTTGCCTACACGAGGGCTACACCATAGCTACACCATGGCTATACCAGGGCTACACCATAGCTACACCATGGTACACCAGGGCTACACCATAGCTACACCATGGCTACACCATAGATACACCAAGGCTACACCATAGCTACACCAGGGCTACACCAGGGCTACACCATAAATACACCATAGCTACACCATGGCTACACCAGGGCTACACCATGGCTACACCATGGCTACACCAGGGCTACACCATAGCTACACCATGGCTACACCATAGATACACCAAGGCTACACCATAGCTACACCAGGGCTACACCAGGGCTACACCATAAATACACCATAGCTACACCATGGCTACACCAGGGCTACACCATGGCTACACCATGGCTACACCAGGGCTACACCATAGCTACACCATGGCTACACCATGGCTACACCATAGCTACACCACAAATACACCAAAGCTACACCAAAGCTACACCATGGCTACACCACAGCTACACCATGGCTACACCATGGCTACACCATGGCTACACCATAGCTACACCATGGCTACACCATAGCTACACCATGGCTACACCAAAGCTACACCATAGCTACACCATGGCTACACCAGGGCTACACCATAGCTGCACCAGGGCTACACCATAGCTACAACATGGCTACACCAGGGCTACACCATAACACCAGCGCTACACCAAAGCTACACAATAGCTACACCATGGCTACACCATAGGTACACCATAGCTGCACCATGGCCACACCAGGGCGCATAAATGCATTATAGCTACACCATGGCTACACCATAGCTACACCATAGCGACACCATGGCTACACCATGGCTACACCATAGCTACACCATAAAGACACCATAAAGAACTATAGGTACACCATGGCTACACCATAGCTACACCATAGCTACACCATGGCTACACCATGGCTATATCATAGCTACACCATAGCTACACCATGGCTACACCATGGCTACACCATAGCTACACCATGGCTGCACCATGGCTACCCCATGGCTACACCATAGCTACACCATGGCTACACCATAGCTACACCATAGCTACACCATGGCTACACCATGGCTACACCGTGGCTACACCATAGCCACACCGTGGCTACACCATGGCTGCACCATAGCTACACCATGGCTACACCAGGGCTACACCATGGCTACACCAGGGCTACACCAGGGCTACACCATAGGTACAGCATGGCTACACCAGGGCTACACAATAGCTACAACACGGCTACACCAAAGCTACACCATGGCTACACCACAGCTACGCCATAAATGCACCATAGCTACACCATGGCTGCACCATGGCTACACCATAGCTACACCATGGCTACACCATGGCTACACCATGGCTACACCAGGGCTACACCAGGGCTACACCATAGGTACAGCATGGCTACACCAGGGCTACACAATAGCTACAACACGGCTACACCAAAGCTACACCATGGCTACACCACAGCTACGCCATAAATGCACCATAGCTACACCATGGCTGCACCATGGCTACACCATAGCTACACCATGGCTACACCATGGCTACACCATGGCTACACCAGGGCTACACCAGGGCTACACCATAGGTACAGCATGGCTACACCAGGGCTACACAATAGCTACAACACGGCTACACCAAAGCTACACCATGGCTACACCACAGCTACGCCATAAATGCACCATAGCTACACCATGGCTGCACCATGGCTACACCATAGCTACCCCATGGCTACACCATGGCTACACCATGGCTACACCAGGGCTACACCAGGGCTACACCATAGGTACAGCATGGCTACACCAGGGCTACACAATAGCTACAAAACGGCTACACCAAAGCTACACCATGGCTACACCACAGCTACGCCATAAATGCACCATAGCTACACCATGGCTACACCATGGCTACACCATGGCTACACCATGGCTACACCATGGCTACACCATGGCTACACCAGGGCTACACTATAGCTACACCATGGCTACACCATAGCTACACCATAGCTACACCATGGCTACACCAGGGCTACACCATAGGTACAGCATGGCTACACCAGGGCTACACCAAAGCTACACCGTACCTACACCATGGCTACACCAGGGCTACACCATAAATACACCATAGCTACACCATGGCTGCACCATGGCTACACCATAGCTACACCATAGCTACACCAGGGCTACACCATGGCTACACCATGGCTACACCATAGCTACACCTTGCCTACACGAGGGCTACACCAAAGCTACACCGTGGCTATACCAAAGCAACACCATAGCTACACCATGGTTACACCATAGCTACACCATAGCTACACCATGGCTACACCATAGATACACCAAGGCTACACCATAGCTACACCAGGGCTACACCAGGGCTACACCATAAATACACCATAGCTACACCATGGCTACACCAGGGCTACACCATGGCTACACCATGGCTACACCAGGGCTACACCATAGCTACACCATGGCTACACCATGGCTACACCATAGCTACACCACAAATACACCAAAGCTACACCAAAGCTACACCATGGCTACACCACAGCTACACCATGGCTACACCATGGCTACACCATGGCTACACCATAGCTACACCATGGCTACACCATAGCTACACCATGGCTACACCAAAGCTACACCATAGCTACACCATGGCTACACCAGGGCTACACCATAGCTGCACCAGGGCTACACCATAGCTACAACATGGCTACACCAGGGCTACACCATAACACCAGCGCTACACCAAAGCTACACAATAGCTACACCATGGCTACACCATAGGTACACCATAGCTGCACCATGGCCACACCAGGGCGCATAAATGCATTATAGCTACACCATGGCTACACCATAGCTACACCATAGCGACACCATGGCTACACCATGGCTACACCATAGCTACACCATAAAGACACCATAAAGAACTATAGGTACACCATGGCTACACCATAGCTACACCATAGCTACACCATGGCTACACCATGGCTATATCATAGCTACACCATAGCTACACCATGGCTACACCATGGCTACACCATAGCTACACCATGGCTGCACCATGGCTACCCCATGGCTACACCATAGCTACACCATGGCTACACCATAGCTACACCATAGCTACACCATGGCTACACCATGGCTACACCGTGGCTACACCATAGCCACACCGTGGCTACACCATGGCTGCACCATAGCTACACCATGGCTACACCAGGGCTACACCATAGCTGCACCATGGTCACACCATGGCTACATGATCGTTCGTATTTTAGATGCCCGTGGTGTGCCTGAAGAACACAATCTTTTAACGAATTCAACACAGTATCAAAAAGAGTTTCAAGAAGTTGTGCTCTGGTCCACACCAAACTGTACGTTGCTTCGCGAAGAAACTCCTGTTGAATCTGGCAGGAGGAGAGTGCAAAGGTCGGAGAAAATGGTGACGCTGCCAAAGAGGCAGGAAGCTCTCATCTCACCTCAATTCACCTCGACCTGTATCAGTAGCCTCCGTTTGATGTATCAATTTGCATGATTTTATCGATGGGATGTTACATCATCTTAGGTTTTGTTATAACTTGTTACGACTTGTTACGACTTGTTACATGTTTGGCAGGGCATCCAAGTGGATGTAGAGGCTGAGGTCAGGACCTTGGACCGATTGCAACTCGACAGATATGATCATATCGTGGCGCTCAGGTTGATGGGGAACAGGAACGAGCCACTGCGCCGCTTCCCGGGCATGTTTAACGTTTGTTTAAACATTAAAACGACAATTGGCGACAATTGTCAACTGCAAACTGATTCAAGAATATTGAGGATGATGTGGGTAGAGTCACAATATTCAACCCCCCAACATGGATGCCTTGATAGAAGAACCACCGACTTTTTTTATCCTTTTTTGGTCCATTGGTTCTGCAAAGAGACCAGGAAGGCTGCTGCTCCTCCTGCTCCTCCTGCTCCTGCTCCTCCTCCACCTCCAGTGCCAATGTCGTATCTTCTCAGTGAGGCGATTGGACGGAGGGATCGAAATCGATCGAAATCGATCGAAACCGACCGTATCAGATGACACTGATGACACATGATGACACCATAAAACTATATAAAACGATATAAAACTATATAAAACTATATAAAACTATATAAAACTATATAAAACTATATAAAACTATATAAAACTTGTGAATTCCGGTGATTCCGGATGCAATTGGTGGAACACCGCTTCCAATCTGGTGTGAACATCAGTCAAGTTTCAAGTCGACGCCATTCATCCATGTATTTGCAGGATGGCGCGAACGAGCTGAACGAGCTCTATGGACAAGACCTCAGAGCGATAGCTCCCGTGCTGGGGACGTGAGGGCAATGCAGCAGTGATGTCTGGTGATGTTTTGGACTGGATCAACTGGGACTGACCTGGGACCAACCTGGGACAGACTGGAAGTGTAGAGGCATAGGCGCACAATTGCTGCGCAGTCGCTGCCTCGGTGATGATGCAGAGCTGACAGTGATGACGTGGTGATGAGACTCGGATGAAAGTCACAAGTTGTGTCAAGGTATGGGCTGGCACCCTGGAGTCGGAGTGGGAGCCAATCTGGATGGTGAGTCTGATTCCCAGAGATTGAGCATGAAATGCCAAGGACATACTAGATATATCATGATATATCTAGATATTACTGAACCAAGTATGGAAGCTTAGCATAAGGTCTGACAACTGGGGACCCCAAAACTCCCATGGCATATCGTCATTTTCCCCATTAACATTTCCATTTTGAGTACCCAGCATTTTTGGAGAAACGCATGCGTTATTTGAGGATTTATGCATGTAGAAATGCAAACAGGCAGCATGTTTGCCGAGGCTTGAGCCTGTATCCGTCCAGCTACTTGGGTTACCCTCCACCCATTATGGCCGGAAGGAGAGTACTTGCTGTGCCTTCAGTTTATTGTGCTTTGTTTCTCTCTAAATCTATACAAATCTTTTTTATCCGTGGGCAAAGTTGCGGCATTGACAGGATCGTCGGTGTTTGGGAAGACGGAAACCCAAGCGCTTTCGAGACTCCGACGAGAACATGCCTCAGCAATTTGGTATTTCGGTATTAATCAGGGTACCCCAAAATGGATGGTTAGAATGATCTAGTATGGACAATCTCAGACAATCTCCCAAAAAATTGATGATTTCGGGGTACCCCCATGACTTCGAAAATAGGTCACTTCTTTGGACGGCGCTTGGCCGTAGGTCAAGTCCATCGAGGACCCCATCCTCATCATCCAGCAGATCGACCAGCAAGTGACGCGCTTGGAACGACATTGGCAATGAATTGTCGTTGTTTTTCATAGGACTACAGGAGGAATAATTAGAAGGTATAATTAAATTAAGTATATAGTTATGTCGACTATTCAAGATTGATCTTGGCTATATTTCGGCTATAGAATTATTTCCGTTTCAGGATGCTTCAACCATGTTTTGCGCTTGGCTGGGTGGGGTTGCCAATATTTGCTGCCAGATCATCACAAAAAAGCTCCAAGAGCAGCAGTCCCTCTAGCAAAAAGAAAAAGAAGAGAAGGCGCGCTTTTTGGTGGGCTGAAGGGCAACAATTTGCCAGGAAAAAGTGCGGACTCTAGTGAGGCTGTTCTCACGTGAGGCGAAGAACTAAGCGGAAGAAGCAGTCGCGAAGCAGTTCAAGCAAGAGGCAACAAAGCTAAATAAGATACAACCACACAATTATCACAATTCGTGTTTGAGGTCATGGGGGATTTATTTTGAAGACTTGCAAGGTCACACTGTGAAGGAAGGTTCAATCTGTCAGTTGGAAGCAGTGACAAGCACGATCCTGTCGACAGATCGTCTGCTTCAAGCAGTAGTTCTTCAAGCAAAAGCAGGCGTCTTGCGACCTTTGTGCCAGTTTTGCTTTGTTCCAGATGAGGCATCTCGCATCTCAAGTGGGTATTTGAGCATGAACTGGATCAGGAAAAAGAAAAAAGGTAAATTTACTTCGGAAGCGTTTGCACCTGAGATGTGGGGAGACCATAGACAAACAACTTGCCTGGCCCGTCTGCACAAACTTGCTTACCTGCATGAAGCTCCTGTCATGAAGGTGATTCACTATTTCCTGATTTCACTGCATAGAACAAGGTTGAGAGTTTTGTCTTCAAATAAGTAATGAATTGCCCTTGCAGTCTCAGAATATTTGAACGTTATATAAATCATTATTCTGTCAGAACTTTCCATGCCAGATGCTAATAGTGAGAGACAAAAGCAAAACTGTAAGGCAAGTATTTGATGCATAAGAGCCTCACACAATCTCTTCATTCTTAGAAGAGAACATTGCAATGACAAATTGACCAGGCCTGCTGGCAATCCTGCTGGAGCAGCAGGTGCTGCAGTTGGGAACCCCAAGCATTGCGAACACAGCAAGATGGAGGGCTCCATCAGTTCAGGACCCTGGAAGAGTTTCTGCATGTTCCAATGAGGCAGCCAATGTCGCAGCGCCACCCCAGGCGGTAACGTCCTCAAACTTGCACAATGGTTTTGGCCACCCAAAGTCTTCCAAGACACGCTACAACTGCTTAGGCAGTTGTTGAAGATCCAGAAACAGCTCAAGCCAAAAAAAGAGTTTGCAGCCTGGAGCAGTCCCACAGTGTATTTTGGATGAAACTGATGGGGCCTGACATTTGGCAAACCGATGACGAGTAATAGTTCAAACAATACCATATAAGGAGGTACAATAGAACAAATCATTACAATAATATTATTATCATTATTATGATTATGACTATGATTATTGTTGTAGTATTATTAATACAAATATATGTATATATATGATATTTACACATTATGTATATACTATATATATATATTTTGTCAAAGGAAGTTTAGGAGTGTAAACTCCGTTCTACGGAAAATACAGTCAAGAGGAACAATACATCATCGCAACAACAAATAATCACAACAATAAATAGTCACAACAATAAATAATCACACATAAATAATCATAACAGTAAATCATCACACATACATAATCACAACAATAAATAATCACTAATAGATAATCATAAATAGATAATCGCAGCAATGAATAATAACAACAATGAATGATCACAACTACAGAATGGCAACAATAAACAAATCATCATAAATAAATAATTACAACAATGAATAATTACAACAATAAATAATCACATCACAACTACATAATCACAACAATAAATAATCACACATACATAATCACAACAATAACAAATGAGAGTAGGGATGTGGAGAGATTAGGGAGAGATTAGAGATGGAGAGAATAGGGATATGGAGAGATTAGAGATGGAGAGAGAAGGAATGTGGAGAGATTAGAGATGGAGAGAGTAGGGAAGGGGAGAGATTAGAGATGGAGAGACTGGGGATGTGGAGAGATTAGAGGAGAGAGTAGAGATGTGGCGCAGGATTGCGGTGGAACTGCTGCGTCAAGGTGATGTCTGGCATAAAGTGGTTCCCGGTGTCGATGGGTCTGTGCGACTAGAGCAGGGAGTTGAAGAGAGTAGGAGAGTGAAGGAATAGGGAAAGGAGAGCAGAGTGTGTCAGGTCCCAGGCTCCTGAGCTGTCAACAAGAAAGAGGCTGTCAAGAATCAGAGATGACAAGCGCAAGCCGGATCAAGAGAAAGTGACATCATCGGGCAAGGATGTGAGGAAGAAATGTCAGGGAGAAAAGATGTCCAGACAAGCAGCAAGCAAGCAGCAAGCAAGCAGCAAGCAAGCGAAAGGTTTGTGAAGATGCAGAAATGTCAGGAGCAAGCCAGATCAAAAGACAGTAGCAGCATGAGACAAAGATGTCGAGAATTCAGAAACATCAAGGACAAAGACTTCCAAGAGATCACGCAGTCGACGGCCGTGCCAGCCAGGCAGTCAGGGGCCGTTCCTATAGGCGCTCCCTTGTCTTTATAGGTTCTTCCGTATCTCGAAACTTCCGTCACCTGGCTTGCCCGGACTCTACTTGTATACATTCTATATTCTATATTATATGTTATGTAATATACCTGATACATGATCTTTGATACACCATATCTTCTACTCGATATGTCATTGTGTGTATACATATATATATATATATATATGCATGCACATTTTACATTGGTTTGCATACATATATATCATAAATATCACATGATCTAATTACATACAACCATATGGACATCTGAGGTGCTGGCAAAGCTCACAGAGCTGCAGAAAGTGGAGCCCAAAGAGCAGCGAGCCAAGGCCATCTGCATCGACCCGTGTCCAATGGACCACCACTGGATCCACCAATGGATGATCTTTAAACACGGGGAGGTTCGATAATTTTGACCCACAACCATTGGTCACCATTGGCTGGGGCGTTTGGTATGCTCACTCCTCTTTTGCGATGGACTTAGGATATTTGCAGGGAATCGAACATGAGTCTGAGTGCAGAATATCAGTTCGAATGGATGGAATGAACTCCGAAATATGAAGTGGAGAAATTGGGTTCTGCAAAAACGGAACCGGGTGTTCCTCCATGTATAAACGATTTCAGAAAAAAGGACTCTGCAATTGAAGTCAGTGAGGCATACCGCTTTCAACATTCATGCGGGTTTGTGCGGCCCTGCTCCCCATGTTGTGAACGTTGCGAGGAGTTTCGAAATCTTTTGCGTGACTGGCATCCAGACAAGAATCCGGAGAAGAAGGCCTGACGTGTTCCCAGCAAATCCCAGCAAACAGCCTACACTTTGTCGCAGGCAGATTTGCATTCTCAGAAGCCCCTGAATTCTGTTTGTCCATTGATTCATCAACGGATGGTCCGCATGGCGGGAACGGCTGAGGACATGGCAACAGCTGTTTTCCAGTTCCTCCAGAAGGGGAAGAGCTTGCTGAACCTCAAGTGAGGAGGTGACTCTGGTGACATCTGGTGACTCTGGAGGTAACTCTCCATTTTCAACAATACACTGAGTATCACTGAGTACATGTTACTTGGAGCCTTCAATGAATGCAACTTTGTGTTTATTAGGTTTATAGATACATGTATACGTTTATGTATAGATATGGAGGTTTGTATTTATATGTCGAGCAGATTCTATTTTGCCCATGCATTAATGATACATTCTGCAGGTGCTGAAGCAGCCTCCAAGTCCTGTTAATGAGAGCCGGAACTGCAGGCCACTACACATCACGATTTCTGACTCAAACTCCTTGGTACTATTTTCCACCCACAACTGCCTATCAAATCTATCAATAGCAACAGAAGCTGGATCCTTGAAAGTCCTTGAACACAGAACCCTTCGATGTTTTGGGACTGGTTTCATGAGGGCTGAGGCCATCAGTCGAGAACTAAAACACTGCCGCCCAAGATCTACCAGGTATCTACTGTACTTCAATTGGATGGGTCAAGGCAAGAGATCAGGGACATGATTCGACATGTAGGAGAAATTGCTTCGCTGCTTTGTTGGCCTTGTAGCCTTTCTGCCGCAACGGCTGAGCGTTGCCGCACTCGTGGTGAACATAGACTAGCCGCTCGGGTTGCTGCCGAAAAGATGTTTCCTCATTGCCTCGATTGATCACAGAGACATCAACATAGCTTTCCAAGCACCATGAAGCTTTGGAACAGCTTCGGGTAGACGGTATTTTTGCTGGTGTCGTTTGCAATTTCGGCTCGACTTGTCCAGGTTTGACAAAAAGATCAAGATGAATATGATGTTCAGGATCACCTCACACCTGCCAGTGCTAAAACGATCCACCCGCTGACACGTTGCACTAGCGGTGCGCTGTGGTTTGTTCTTGGTGCACACATGGCTGGGGCTGAAGTGCAGCGGATGCCAGAACACAAGTGCCTGGCTGGGCGGCACCCTCAGCCCAGAGAGTTGAGAATGGAGAATATTTGGACATTTGGAGAATTGAATGAAACACGGAAGGGAAGACTCGAAAAACACTCGAGAAGGTTCAAAAGCAAGCCAGAACGCTGCGACAGGGAAATGTCGGTGTAGCTTTGTAAAATGTTTTGTGGACGGTGGATACTTTATCTAGAATTGGATTCTGTCAGTGATTCTGCCGTGGCCAGCAGTACCAGCAAAGACTAGAGCAGAGTGCTGTGTGTTCTTATCTCACGAGATTTGCCTAGGTTGCTTTCATGCTATGCTGGCTACCTCAGAAAGAGAAACCGTCATGGGTTCCATCACACAGGCGCACCATGACGTTTCGGTGCTCGTTGGGTCGTCCTTTTTTGTTTGGATGCATCTTGGTGTAAAACAGTCATGACATTTTCATACATTTTCTAGGCCGATGGATACTTTGAAATCTTTGAATTCAGACAAGCCTTCAGGAGTGAGCTCGTTGGACTTGAGCCTCCCAGCACAAGTGACGCCACAGGACTGTTGTGGAGATGTGTGCCATGTGTGCAGAACAAGTTTGAATGATTTGAGTGAGAACCGTTTGACATCGTTTGACACTGATTGCTTTCCACAAGTGAGCAATTGACTTTCTGGCACGATTCGGAGAGGTTTGAGGCCCGAGTGAACTGGTTTGGAATAGGTCTGGAAAAGTTTTGGACATTGAGAGAGTCACAACAGATTTCTCAAGGTGAGATTGAAGTGTATGGGCTGGCCTTGAGGGGAGGCAACATTTGCCGCCAAGGCTTCACGAAGCTTGCCAAAGCTTTCCTGGGTCTTCATAGTTCCACAGGTTGAATTTTCCTGATCTATTATGATCTATTCAATCTATTGGTAATTTCTGAAGGACACTCAGACTCAAAAGGCAAATCTCGTTGCATTTCTGGTGAAAGCTCGTCTGCAAAGCATCAGCCCAGGAGTGCAGCAACCTTGAACACCTCAAGGCCGGTTTGGTCCAGATATGTCCAGTCCTTGTTGAATTGAAAATCGCCGAAACAGGACGACCTCTGCAAGGGTGGCTCTGGCAGCAGTTGTGCCACTAGCAGCACTGGTACAGGCCTTCTTCCAGTGGAAAGCCAGGTGCACGATGTGGCTGGAGTTGTGATGCACAGCTGATAGCTTGTCCTTATTTAGTTATAGTTTATAGAATGTCTATACATATATATATATATAATTGATATCTATAGACTAATTGACTAATTTTCTACGAGGTTGAAACCATCAACCCTGGTTTGACATCTTGACATAGGTATGGATGTATGTATATATATAGAGGTTACATCAAACACTCCATTTTCAATCCCTTCCTGCGCCTTATAAAATGACCCTTGTTTGTCCATGCAGGGGAATAGCAGCGTTATAGCGAGCACTCGTCACCTTGGAGGGTTCAGTCTGAGCAATGCGAGCTTTGGCAGAAAAGGGTCTCGTAGACTCATAGGCATGCCTTCTGAAGTATCTTTTCCTTGATGTGTCTCCAGTTTCAGGAGTTTTCCTTCATGTTGTCGTGCTTGGTATAGTTTGGGTTTTCAGTGCTCCAAACCTGCTCCCAGATGTATACAATCAAGAGCAATATCTGAGTTATATATATATATATATTATATTTCAATTCTGAACTCAGCTTCAACGATTCTCATCTCTCGCACCTTCGCAGAAAGAGATGAAAGATCTCAGATGATTTGAGCAGAATGTTGTGTTTTCATGATTCAAAGCACGAGAAGAAACCAACCAACAATTGTAATTTTTGATGTTGTTTTTTCTTTAAACAATTTTGCGTATGTACAGATGACATTTGGGAATCCAGCAGGATTCTGTGCAAAAACACGGAAATGACAGGGTGTAGAATTTTTGTACAGGAACAGCAGTTTGCTTAATCTAAGGAGCTCTCCGGCAGACTTTTTCCCTGCAGAGGACGGTAGACAGGTGGACCAGCCTTTTGTTTTTGTGGCTGCCAGCTTCACTCCACTTCAATCTCCGTTTTTTTTCCTGATTCGCAGTGGGCATCCATACCACAGGAATTCAACCCGCACAGACTTCTGGGACGACGTACGCCACAGGCAGGATCTGAGCTGGGTTATGAAATATTATGAACTTTTGTTGCAAGAGTGGAGAAATTTGCACTTTGGTTGATCCATTGAAAGCCATTGAAATCCATTCCAAATCAACGGCTCCATGGTGCCAGGTGGATTCTTATTTCTTGGACAGTCCTCTTCTCGAGGCGAGATGGGTTCCATTTCAGATAGCACTTTGTGACCTGAACTCCTAAGGGCTCAGCACTGCCCGGCCTTCAGAATTCTGAGGCAGATGAGATAAAGCAAAGCTGGTTTTCCTGCAAAGTGTGTGAGCCATTGAAGACGATCAACAGGCCGGATTCGCAGATGTTGGTTTTATCATTCTCTAGTCACCAAGCTCAATGTGCCAGTATTTCTGAGAAGCACTTTGACCAGTTCAAATCTTTTGCCCAGGAACAATAGGGTCTCAAGATGACATGGAGACCAACATGTTTTGCGCACAGCAGCTGTTGGTACAGCGATGTTTCACAAATGCCACGATGCTGGCAGAGGAACGGAATTCTTGGAATGCTTGGATGCATTTGAGTTGGTCTAAATTCTTTGTCAACTCTTCACTCTTGCATCCAAGTTTCCCATTTGCACAAATTGCTCAGCATTTGTGCCAGATTGTCGTCTTTTAATAGATCCACATCATTGGTCCAGTAGACATACCACGCAGCAGCTGCTCGTCTGGGGAATCCAGAACTGGCTGTTTGAAAATGATGTGCTTTAGGCAATCTTCAGCTGCCATGATGTGTGAGACAGCTCCTGCAAAGTTTGAATTTGCTCATTGATGCCTGTAAATCCGCGTCACTTCATATCTTGTTTCCTTTTGTGGATTGAAGCAAGATACACTCCCATATTCTAACATGGAAGGAAAGATGTCATACAGTACATAGACTAGCACAGGGTCCATGTCGGACCTTGCAAGGTGCAAGCTCGAGTATGATGATAAACAATGATAACAGATGTAAGTAAGAGCTAGATGATATATATATATACTTACACATTATCTGAAACATATAGATATTGGAGGGCTTCGCACACCGGTGATGCCCCAAGGGTTGCTGTTGTTGCCCAGAAAGTCGCCTGCTTGCTCTGTTATTGTTGTTTTGTTGTTGTTGTTGTGGTTGTGGTTGTGGTTGTGGTTGTTGTTGTTGTTGTTGTGGTTGTTGTTGTTGTTGTTGCTGTTGTTGTTGTTGTTGTGGTTGTGGTTGTGGTTGTTGTTGTTGTTGTTGTGGTTGTTGTTGTTGTTGTTGTTGTGGTTGTGGTTGTTGTTGTTGTTGTTGTTGTTGTTGTGGTTGTTGTTGTCGTTGTCGTTGTCGTTGTCGTTCTTCTTGTTGTTGTTGTTGTTGCTGCTGCTGCTGTTGTTGTTACACCCGCAGCTTTCTTCTCAGTCTCGTAGTGGCCAAACATCGTCAAATAGGTGGTGTTTCCACAATTTTGTTTCGACTCTCGGAGCAAACAAACACCGTAAATACCGAAGTTTTTTGCACCTCGGAAACCCAAAAGCATCGTATTTACGATGTTTTTTGCCACTGGAAATCAAATTCTCGGATATTCACGGCATCTAAAATTTTTTATGCCAGCAGCGCCTAGCAAAAACACTAGTACTTACGCAGTTTTCAGCATGTTGCAAGAAGTATTTTTTTGATGCAACCACAAGGATGGTGCCACCACACCGAAACAGCATGCCAGTGAAGGCCGGATTGTGCCTTCGGCCTGCGGCTGCTAGTGCCCAACGTTGCTTTGTAAAGCAAGCTGCAGCGGCACCAGCATCTTGGAGGCCTCAGGCCTCCAAAATGCTGGTGCCGCTGCAGCTTGCTTTCTTCTTCCATATTTTGTTTCTTCCGTGTCTTGGCCTTGCTTGCCCTTGCAGCTTGCTTCACTATCGTGCTTGCCCTTGGAGCTTGCTTTCTTCTTCCGTGTCTTGGCCATTCGTCTACTTCTCTGTCTTGCCTCTTGCTTCTTTTTCTTGGTTTCTAGCTTCTTGTTCCATTTGTTGTCCCCTCTTCTCTGACGCGATCCCCCTGCTGTCGGCAGGGGTCGGCGGATAATATATATTTTGTACATACTGAAAAACATCTGCTATCGACAGAAAAGGAGAGCAGTTAGAGCAGCAGCTCGGATGCAGTTCAGGGAAATGATCTCCCAAAGGCAAGATGCGGAAGTCACATGTAGTGATTTGAGAAAGCAAGAGAGGAAACACGCTAAACACGCTTGCTTGGGCGTTCCCCATTTCAATTCGGTTAATGCAAGCTATGGACGGCCCAAGAATGGCAGGGATTGCCGGGTCCTTGGCCGATTGGACCATGGCTATTGGACCATCCAAATCAAAGATGAGAAGCACTCCGAGATATGGAAGGTGAACAGTTGCAGTTGCATCAATTTGGTAACGACGGCGTTGGATGCTGAGGTCAATGACGTAATGGAAGGAATTCAGGAGGAAATGCTTGCCGCAATGTCAGCACCCTTGCATACCATCCCACACCAAGACTGTTGATAGAGTCCCCTCATGGCACAGTACTATTTTTAGTGCAAAAACTATGATGGGTATGGCACAGTAGAACTATTTTTGGAATTCAGGTCCAGTCATATACGCAATGCTGCTGCAGCCTGCGGAGATGTTTGTGTTGGGTGCTCATATCGAAGTGGTCGTGGTTTGCTGATCGGATCTGAAATGGCGACCTAAGGCAGCTCGACTTCGCATGCTGCAAACAGCGCTGTCCCGCCATTTAGATGAGGTCGCGCAAAATGCTGAAGAAATGCTGCAAATCCTTCCAGTCATTGCCAGTTCAAGGCTCCCTTGCAACCAGGCTAGAAGACAGCAGATGATTGGTGGAGCGCCGTCGCAGCCTTGGTCAAAGCAACTCTACAGAAAAGTACCCAAAACACTGAAAACCCATCAACTTGCCTATCAAGCCACTCATCAAGCTGCTTTCAAGAGTCCGTGTGAGGTTGACTCCAGGCTTTGCTGCAGCACAACAGGCCATGATCGCTGAAGTGGTTGTTCCACACAGAAGATCCATATTTTTTCGTTGCAGGTGCTGAACGGGCCGGTGGATACAAAACGTGCAATGCCCTTAGCCATCCTTAGCCAAAACAGGTGAAACTCGCCAGCGGCTTGAGCTTTTGTGCTGAGGTTGCCATCAGGCAAATCCGTGCAAAGCTGGAATCACAGGCAAAGCCACACCCGGGAGACATGGGAGGCAGCGGACAGACATAGCCATTGCCCGGAGGAGGCGAGAACACATGCATGCATATGAGTATGATTATACATACATACACGGACACAGACCCACACAAGGGGTACCACATATGTATGACATATGTATGTATATGGACACATGTATGCCTGTATGCATTCAAATTGTGTATAGTGCGTGCTTGTTTTTTTTAAAATCCCTACAGACAGGAATACCAGAAGGAAGTTGTTGATACCGGGTTCTTCAAAAAAAACAGCCATCCACAGGAAACCACAGAGATACCCTGCTTACCCCCGCAACCCCCAACTTCAATGTTGTGATCGGAAGTGCCGAACATCATCAACAGAAATGGCTGTTTTTTTTGAAGGCCGCCAAACACAAAATTCAGAAGACAACATTGAATTGGGGGACGGGGGGGGCATGACCTCTGTGGTGTGGTACTTCATGGGATGGCTGTTTTTTTTGAAGAACCCGGACTCAGAACAAACACAATAGGATGGACCCATGGCTGCAGACAAACGCGAGGACGACACTGTGTCAGAGAAAGCATCGGGATCAGTTTGGGCGGGTGTTTGTGTGTGTGGGTGTGTCTGTTTGCTTGCGCGGGCGCATGTGTGAATATGGGTTGTGCTAAGTGAAATCCATGCAGCGACAGTCTTGACACCTTTTTGACCTGATTCCGCAATGTCGTTGGGTGCACTGGCTGTCGTTCTGCGTGGCAGGCGCGCCACTTTGAGAGCGTGACTGCTCTATCCTGCACACCTGCCATGCAACGCACATGCAACACACATGCAACACACATGCAACACACATGCAACACACATGCAACATGAGCTTTTTACCTGTAAATTTACAGTCAACGTGCAGGATTTGACGTTTGCAGCCCCAGCTCCGGTCTTAGAATGGAAAGTGTAGATTTTTGCCCCCGCGGCCACTTTGCTTGGAAATTTACAGGGAAAATGCTCGTGTTGCATGTGTGTTGCATGTGTGTTGCATGTGTGTTGCATGTGCGTTGCATTGGCAGGCCCATACAAATCACACCCGTGAAGTGGGGAAGTAGAAAACAGCGTGGCAGGCGCAAGACTTGTAGGTGGCAGGGGCGGGACTTTGGAAGCTGAGCGCCTTGGATATTACATTGTGGTGGTGGCCCGTAGCATCCACCTTTGTGGGGTTGTCGCATATTATATAGAATAAGCTTTGACAACCATCTTGGGTAAATTTCACAAGCTGATGGTTAGCCCTTGGCATCCACCTTTATTGGGCTGTCACAGATTACAGAAGCGCATGCTTTGACGGTGCGTAAATTTCAGAAGCTGATGTTGTCGCACCGATGTGTGTGTGTGCTGATCTACATCCACATGCATATCAACAACAGTTAAAATGAACTCGGAACCAAAAAAAACCTCACCGGGTTCTTCAAAAAAAACAGCCATCCACAGGAAACCACAGAGATACCCTGCTTACCCCCGCAACCCCCAACTTCAATGTTGTGATCGGAAGTGCCGAACATCATCAACAGAAATGGCTGTTTTTTTTGAAGGCCGCCAAACACAAAATTCAGAAGACAACATTGAATTGGGGGACGGGGGGGGCATGACCTCTGTGGTGTGGTACTTCATGGGATGGCTGTTTTTTCTGAAGAACCCGGTAAGTCGACAACATTTGGAAATTCGAAATCACTGCAACGTCCATCAGACTATGTCAGTCAGGGCGACACACCAGCGAGCTTTCTACGGGCTCGATCAGTGGCTATCGGCTCAGTTTTGTAGCTCCTCAGTAGCTCCTTCATCCAGCTTTAGCCTGATTGACAATTTTTAGAAGTATCACTCGCTCTTTGCAATCAAGTTGCTTGGTCATCAGGCTGCAAACCAGGGCCTTCTAAGCCGTGATGAGTTTGTGGCGTGTATTGTGGGCGGCTGAGAGATTGATAAACTGGAACAAACAAGGTGAAAACTCTGCTCATTTTCTTCGCATCAATGTAGCAATAGTGTGCCTCCACCGAAGTCTCGCTCTGCTAGGCTTCTCTCAATCTCTCCATCAGTGTGCTTCCCAGTTGTTCAGAAGGCAGCTGTTCCGCCTTGTGTGAGAGATCAAGAATATAGATGAATATAGGACGTCGTTGGGATTGACCCGCAGGTTGCAAAAACTGTGCAAGGCACTCTGATCACATCAAAATCATCAAAGTCCTATCTAAATTATCTAACCATCATCTCATCTACATCGACCACCAGTGGCAGTCAGTGGCAGTCATTCCCATCCTCCAAGGTCACGCTGATATTCTTGAAATCTTTGCTTCTGCAGTTGGAAGCCTGAGCCTTGGTTAAGCCTTGGTTAGCACAGCTGGGCAAAATTTCGAGCTCCGATCGCAACGAAGGCACTGATCGAGACACTGCTATTTTGGACGAGATAACGCAGGCCTGTTTGGCTTGGGTCTTGGGGGGTGAGCAAAAAACGATTCAGCAAGTCCCTTTTGCTGATACAGCAACCGAAACACGCGATTCAGCAACTAAACGGTGTAGGATGAAGCAATCAAACATAATCAAACAATAAAGAACTTAATCAGCCACCGCCATAGAACAAAACGCAATACTGCTGTTAGTACTGGGCTTTGCGTTAGGGATTCCATCTCCCCTCCGCATGGAACACAATACACCAGCGGTTTTGGGTTTCACGGTGCAGATGGACAGGTCCTGGACCGTTCTATTAATTTGACAATGCTCTACCGGGCTCTACCTATTCTGTTTACTCAAGTTGTGATATGCGATGGTATTGTGCTCTGATCAGCCTTCTGTGAACTGAGCGTCAGTATGCAGGCTTTGGACTCCGTGCCGCTCGGGGGCTCTGCTGGAGGTCTGAACTTTAGGTGGTATTCCAGCATTGCTGTCGCAAGGATCTTGGGTGTCCAAAAACTATGAAAAACCATCTTCGTTGGCATTTGCTCCCATGCTTTTAGCGTTTTTTCTGGCTTGATTCCTATGCAATTGTGCTCAAACTCCAAAAACACATGCGGAGCGTCCTGCGATTTGCCAGGTTGCGCCGCTGCAACTTTACTGAGCCCTGAGGCATGAAGCAAAGCTCTCAAGTTCTAGGAAACAAGCCAAGCCATGCCAAGGTACACTGATTACATGATCGGTGCTCTGTTGAAGATGGACCTGAAGTAGAGGAGAAAGGTTTGCAAAGTTGTTCCATGGACCACAAAAAACCTGCAGCGTCCACGCACACCCCGCTTAATCTACAGCCTAGTGTCTACTTGGCTATTGATAAACGGCTGAAGGTCTAAACATGTCTAAACCATCTAAACCTGTCGACCTTCAGGCAGAGCGAGTAGTTGGACGCGTGCGGAGTGCCGTGGGAAGATCTGGTCGTCCTTTCGAGGAAGTTGTGACCCCAGGAAACGGAACTAGATCTGAAGGCATCAGGAAGGTATGGTCCGCACGTGTTAAGGGGACTCAGAGGACTTCATTTTCACAGTTTTCACACCAACTTTGCACCAAGTAGTGCAAGCAATGCAATCAGTATGTCAACACCGAAGCACATAGGATTGAACACGGTCCTGCACTTGTTCAGGAGGCAGAACCGCCTGATAGACTTTTGCACATTCGTTGCACCTCTCATCATGAGCGACAGTGCTTGGTTGTAGCAAGTGTTTGGACTCTCTCAATACCTTTTAACAATGTGAAAGTCTTTAGCCACGTTGGTTTCCTTCAGATTTGTTGTTTCTCTGTCAAAAGGAATCCTTTTTATCGACTGCCACAAGCCAAAAGTCCCTTCATTTGCCCATCCCTCGAAGAGGTTGCTTCTGTTTTGTCCTCTCTACCAACTGTTCATTCAGCCCCTTCGTTTTGTGTGCTGTGATGCCATTATGGGACTTGTTTATTTCAGTAGCAACCCTGTGCCATGTCCTCTGTTGGTAGCGCATTTGGAGCACCTGAATTTCAGGATTCCTCACACTGTGACAGTTCCACCTCACACAGGAACTGAGTCGTGCTGTTTGGTTTGGTCCTCCGGAATAAGGTCTTCAGAGGATTCTGCAGGTCTGGTGGCCGTGGGGCAGCGGTCCTAGCAAGAGATATGATTATATCATGCGGGCTACTGCAGTGTCAAGAGAGATGGATGAAGAAAGCAACTGGCAAACTCTTGAGGTTGTTTGAGGGCAAACCGTTGTTAGAAGATTTCTCTTCACATTTCTGCTTGTCCCGAGGCTGTGACCATGAATCGAGCTGACTTGGCCAGGGTTGGATCTGCAGATCTCACTTTTGAATACGACTGGAGATGACTGGAGTCAGGAACTGCTGAAAGTTTCAATATTTGTCACCTCATGGGGCGAGGTCTTGTCAACTTTTGAGCCAGACATCGACCCTGAGGCGGCGTTTCAGATGCAGAATGTGTGGCAGTGATACTGAAAGATGATTTCCTCATGGGGTTGCAATGCAAAGGTGGTGGCTCGATTGTGGCGGCTCACTGTGCCAGATGGAGCTGCTCAGACTTAATGATATAATTCTCATTGGACTGGCTGGAAAGGTAAGGTCCTTTTAATGTCACTCTCGCAATTTTCACAGGTGTACAGTTGTACAGACATTTTCTTCGTTTGATCCGTCGTCTCAGGTTTACAATGGTAGATATTTACAATCCCAAATCTCATCTAAATAACTTCACCATTAATGGTTATTTAATGATTATCGATCCCATTAAATCACCATTAAATCCCAGTAATGTCCACAGAAGCTTCGCAAATGCGAGGCTCAGGGCCTTGACTTCAGCAACTTCTGCGCGTGGTTCTGTCCTGGTGGCCGTGCATTGGAATCTCCAGCTTGTTATTGTTCAAATTCAATATTGATCGTTAGGAACCAACGCCAACAAAAACACAGTGTCAAACAGCATCACACAGTATCAAAGAGTTGTATATACGTATGTATACATGTATACAATATATATATATGTATCTATGTATAATATTATATAATATTATATAGTGTTAGATCATGTTAGATTATTCTGACATCAGGAATTCGGAATCCACGGAGATGATTTGAAATGTTCCACCATGTCTGCAAGCTGCCAGTCTGGACAAGTCTCAGCTGTGACGCCTATCGGGGGCTTGAGCGAGTCACAAATGCTGCCGCATCCTCAAACTCGATGCAGACTGGTGCAGTGGGTCCTGGGGTCGCAGAGTTTCTGATACCTTTCCAGACCAGGTCCACCTTATTGGAGAAGAGTGGAATGCAGAGGCCTAAGCTCACTAGAGTCACTAGATGTTGATTGTTAGTTGATTGTTACCTTCATAGACTCTGGTAGTTCTTTGTCTTCTGACATGGCAAACGGCCATTGCTCCAGGTCAAGATCCCCTTCGCCAATGTCTGCTTCAATGCCAAACTTGTGTCACCTTGGCTTCGACCAGTGAGAAGCTTGGCCAAAGTGCAAGCAGCTGCAACCAGCTGCAAGCAGTTCAAGCTCCACTTCTGCTCTAATTCTACTGCTTTGCACTATCGAATTCCACCTTTGTCCTTCTGATTCCATCTGTCCTTCATCCTTTGTGCTCAAGTACTGGTGCCGAGGCTTCCAGTGTCACCGTGCGAAACCTAAGTGTTGGCCAAACTCTGTGAGAGTGTCAATCGAGTCAACCGACACCAGTGACAACGGATCAGAAACAGATCAGAAACGGACAGCAGCTGCCAGGGGAGCTCGAATGTCCAGTACATTGACTCCAGAGCAGCTGTTGTCCGCTGACTGGCGGCAGGCTCTCCCAATCTTTGTTCAATCGGCTGATCTTTGTCCATCAGCTTGGGTCGTCACAACGTGTCGAGCGTCACTAACGTCCAATTTGGAGTCCTCTTCTCCGAGTCGAACTTCCCTGGCCGGAACAAAATTTCATGCAACTGTTCACATTTCAATACATTTCAATACATTTCATGCAATGTTTGCAGGACAGGCCAAGAAATGCATGGCCAACTTGGCCAGCACTGGAGGCTCGTGGGATCACTGGGGTCACTGTGCAGTAAGGCACTGGAAATGACTCAGGTAGGCTGTACCCAGCCTCCACCTTCTGCACGACTCTCTCCGTCACCGGCTCAGCTCCCCAGAATGCGCCTCGTAAGTTTGCTATCTGTACACAGTAACTGACAGTAACATGCTAGAGTTTGCGGCGAACCCTCAGGTTGTTGCAAGATGACTTTCCCGCAATGGCCTGTCATGACCTTATTGCAGTGCAGAAGTTGGGTGAACCTTTTGGCTCTGGTCGATTGTTTCAGGTCTCAGCAGGTTGAATGGCTATCTTGCAGCGAAAGGCGCTTGCCTGCAGCAGAACTGCAACAAGCTGCAAGTCATGTGGCACTGTTGTGGCATGCTGTAGCACAAAATGCCTTGATGAACTTCGATTATGGCACCGGGAAGGGCTTACCTTGAACTTTGCCTTCGTTCTGTATGACACCCACATGGAGCAGGTCCTTTTTGCCCTTGGTTAGATGCTTCTTCTGCCTCTGGAATGTTTTTCGATCTTTCCTGTTTCCTTCTTGCAGGCTGTTACGCAAGAAGGCCATTTGCTCAACCTCTGAAATAGTTGCAACTCCTGCGATAATCCGCGTTGCTTGGCAACCGCCAAGGCTTCATGTCTGCCATCGAACATCACGGGTTCCCCATCTCCAAAGCTGAGGCGGAACAGAATGAAGACTTGTGCCACGTTTATAATGTTTAGAGGACTCGTCAAAGCTCCAAACACAGGACAACACAAGAGGGCTGAAAGACACTTCCAAGAGTTTAAACATGTTAAAACACAGTGCCAGATAAACACAAAGTCACTTGACTTGATCCCTGGACATGCCGATGGAATCTGAGGGAAGAGGAATCTGAGGGAATCCAAGAAGCAAAAGATTTGGCCTTGGTGTTTTGGCTGTCAGGCCGAGGCAATCTTCACCCGACTGGCACGGAGAAAGGCAAATCAGGTCTTGTGCTTGTACTTCGAGGACAGCTTGACAACTGCTATCAACTGCCATCAACTGCCATCAACTGCCATCAACTGCCTACAACTGTGCCAAGAGTTCATCTTGGAGCGATTTCTTGTGCTTTTCACCAGGATCTGCAAAGCTGCATTGCAAGCTTGCCCAATCCCCTCCCTCAGGCGCTGCCCGCATCCAAAAAAAGCATTGTGCCTGTGTGATCTCCACAACCTCAGTATATGTATTAACATACTGTATATACAGTATATGATATGTATATGATATTATATGATATATAAATATATCATATGTATATCACACATATATATATGATATATGACTATATATATGATATATATATACATGATATATGATATATATGATACCGTATATGATATATATATATATGATATATATATGATATATATATATGATATATATATATATGATATATATATATATATGATATATATATATGATATATATATATATATGATATATATATATATGACACACATATACATATATATATATATATATCATGTATATATATATACACAAATATATATATATATATAATTATGAATATATATATATATATGTATGTATAGCCCACGGGAAATACACACACACACTGGAAGGATTTGGTGTCAACCTGTCTTAGTCTTGTGTCCTCTGAGCAAAAACAGTGCAATACCTGCAATGATGTGCAGCTTTGCAGGTCCAATGGGCAGAAGCCTAAGACTTGAACTGACATTGAGCATTAAATGACACAAATAAAGTCCAGAACTTGCTAAACAGATGACTGAGTCTGTGTATGATTGTGTATCCTAGGGAAAGGACTTGATCAAATCCGTGGACAAGATCACTCGATCACAAGGACTAGTCAACTCTGTGTATTGTTTCCTGACAGGATTAAATATGGTCATGTGAGTCACATGGTGCATTTTTCTTTTGCCGTGTCCAAATTGTTTTCACCATGGAAAGATGATGAAAGATGGATCCCAACTCTGTCATTGCTGCCGCAGGAACGCCCTTGGAGACTTTGTTTAGACACCTTGGAACTGATTCTGCCGGAAGCTTGTTAGTTTTCTGCAATGGTTTTCCTCGTTTCAATGTTTTCGAATCCTTTGTGCAGCCCATGAGGTTACAGAGTGGGATGTGAGAGCAATTCTGCTTGGAGCTTAAGTCCATTGAAGAGCATCAGCAATTCCTGTTGTGCACTTGCCCCAAATCTCTGAGTTGGGGAAGCAGCCCATTTCAAAACGGCAGGTTGACATGTAAGCTGCAGAATGAAACCATGCAAGCATTGCACCAGGTCGAGATACTCACCTTTGAGCTCGGCTCAATGGGCAAATCTGTACGGATCCAATCAGACTCAAAGGAATTTTTGACAAATCGATGGATTTTTGTGCTTCGATGCGTTCGGCCTCCGGAAGCTTGCAAAGCGGTGAAGTCAGGCTTCCACTCCTAGATAAGAATTCTGATGGGACAGTGCCACAGCCTTGGTGAAACACTAGAGCTGTGACAAACAGATGGAGTGATTTTGCAGTATGCTGGCTTAATGATGTTGATGATGTTGATGTTGATTATGTTTGTGGATGTCCACGACGTCGTTGATGTTGATGTTGATATTGATGTTTGAATGATTAATGATGGAATGACTGCAGAATCAAAGCAACTTGCAACAACATCCTACAATCATCATGCTGTCCATACTTAATAAGGCTTTGTGCTATGTGCAGCAGTGGAGAAGTACTTTGGACGTTGTGGTAGTTCTGGTAGTTGTAGTGGTTGTGGTGTTTCTACATATTCGCGCTGATAGTGGCGGTAATCGCGGCCGTGCTTGTTGCTGTTGACAACAATGGTGTTGCTGCTTCTGCTGCTGTACTCGCAAATTTCGACTTCACACACACACACACGCTTTATGAATTTCTTTGCCGGAAGGACAACCAGCTCCCGTTTCTCAGTTTCTACTTTGTGTTTGTTTTAGGCGCAAACTCAGGTATGTTATTCCTTGCGAGCACAACACAACTCAAAAGATCCATGCCCTTTTCTTCAGATACAAGGGCAGCACTTGTCCTCGTAGATTTGACGTCTTGGACTTTTTGTTCTTCCAAGTGAGTTCCGTTGGAGTTGCTGAGCCAAGGCCTTGGCAGTCTGTGTTGAAGTGGGCTGGATTGGATGGAGTACCAGGAGTGCCAGAAGCTAAGAATGGCTGATGTCTGGGTCTTTGGACCAATTTTGCCCTGCATCTGTTGCTTCAGTCTTGATGTTCAATCAAAAGGCCTCTAGGAACGTATGAATTCCACAATTCTACAGGCCGAACGGAGCAGTTCCAGCTCCTGTTGCGCCAGCACCAGCAGTGCCTGTGCCTGCAGCTCCAGCTGTGCCAGCGGTGCCAGTACAGGTCTGAGTTGGTTGAGTAATTAAAGGGGAACGTCTCAATGTGATTCATGAAAGAACACAAGAAGGGTGTGCAAGACTGCGAGCATGTGAGAGTCTTTTTTTCATATATCAAATCAAAAACTCTAGAATCTAGAAGATGTCTGGCAGTTTGCCAGTTGCATTGGTATTGCTGTTGTATGACAGTGCTCCAAGGCTCAGCCGGTTTCTTCACCGCCTCCCCCAACTCCGCCTGTTGTGAGACCTGCTACGATGCCGGCTGTGCCAGTCCCACACCCAGGACACGAAGGACTGCGGCAAATCCCATCTCTGGATCTTGCCACTCCATTTGGACCCCAAAATGGATGGATTCAATATTGTGCCTAAACCATGGTTTCTAGGGGTTATTTATGGTTATTTGATATTTGGGGGAAGGGGAAAGGATGATTTTGTGGTGATTTCTTCAGGTTGGCCCAGCTTCTTCGTTGTCTCCGCCTGCTCCTCCACCGGCACCTGCTGTCGCACCTCTGGCAAGACCATTGGCTCCAATCGTGCGCGCCTCAGACGTGCTTCGACCAACAAGCCCTACACATGGTGATATGCTGCCTTGCTGGTCTGAACATGGTGAACGCACCCATCATCTCGATTTTCGTGCTCGACTGCCTACAGGGCCATGAATATTTCACACAAAAATCGTTGCTCAATTCCAGGTATTGTTTTGGATGGTTTCTGTACAAATACAATACAAGCAGCACATCTTGTTGTGGTTGGCATGGGTGTCATACTCCTTTTGACCTTTGTCCAAAAGCTATGTGCATAATATATATGATATGCATTAGCCCTGAGTGTTGGCAGTGGATTACATGTTCATTCACAATGCTGTGAAGTCATTGAACTCTGAACTCTGCTGTTGTGAGGCACCTTTGACTTCGCCGCCGCCACCTCTTGGTAGTAGAGTGCGCCCGAGTGAAGGACCAGGGCTGGAGGCAAAGCATGGAGGGCTCCACCTTGACTACGATCAAACCCTCAGGTACCTCCACCTATGCCACCTGTGTGAAGGGCTCAGTGTAGAATGGTTGAACTCACAGACTGCCTTTGCTAAGGGCTGTGGCTATGCGAAGGTTGGTACATAGGAGGGTCTTCGGTCCCAGTGCCAGCAACTTTTTTGTTTGGCTAACCCTCTGGTAATGAAAGATGGCAATGGAAAATCCCAGATTCTGATGGGGGACTTCCCCACGATCCAGGTCGGCTCATGCAGTTGGAGTTCCACCTCCACCAGGACCACCTGGACCACTAGCTCCGGTACAGCTGGACCGAATTGCCTGCCTTGATCTGTGAATTGGATCACGTGGATCACGTGGATCATGTGGATCATGTGGATCATGTGCCAGGTGTCATCTCCATTGGCACGGTTCTGACCCCAGATTTTGTTTTTTGAGGCAATGAGGTCAACTTAAGAATAAACCTACACTTTTGGATGGTTTATACCGCCCATTTCTGTTATAATTTGGGGATGGCTTACGGTTTTGGGTGTACCGCATTATTCCTATCTCCTATCCTCGGCTTGTTTCAACATAGTCGCAATGAGCAGCGCTTGAGTAAGGCCATTTCCACCTGTCGCGCCCTTATTTCATTGATATTAATCAATGTTTATGCACAACATGGAAAACAGAAAAGAAATACAAAATGGTGAAATCGGCTCTGTTTCAAGTAAGGCATTGAGAAGCTGAATTTTAATTCTGTGCGAATAAACATTATTTCAATATATTGAATTTATCATATTGATAAAATTCTTTTTTCAAAGATTTTTTCTGCACCTGTCAGGTAAGGTTTATTAAATTTTATATCAGCTGGCCTACCTTCCTCCTCCTCTGCCGGACCTTAATTGCAAGCTTTAGATCGCCGTCCGAACCATAATATTCTCCGCGGGATTTTAACCATATTTAACCACAAAAATTCTCCGAAAATATACCAGTAGTACTGCACAAGGCGGTGGCGGAAGTTTCAAAAATAGGAAACCTATAGGAGAGGTTGGTTGTTGCGAATCAGGGATGGCAGAGCCAAGCCACTGATGGACCGAAAGGTGCTTGAGGTCTCCTCTCTGTCTCTCTCTTTCTCTGACTATCTACCTACCTACCTATCTATCTATCGATCGGTCTATCTATCTACCCATCTATCTATGTATCTATGCATCTATTTATCTATCGATCTATCTCTCTCTCTCTCTCTCTCTTCCATCTAATTACCTATCTATCTATCTATCTGTCTGTCTGTCTGTCTGTCTGTCTGTCTATCTCTCTCTCTCTCTCTTTCATCTGTCTATCTGTCTAGCTGTCTACCTGTCTATCTGTTTATCTATCTATCTATCTATCTATCTGCCTGCCTGTCTGTCTGTCTATCTATCTATCTATCTCTCTCTCTCTCTTTCATCTGTCTATCTGTCTAGCTGTCTACCTGTCTATCTGTTTATCTATCTATCTATCTATCTGTCTGTCTGTCTGTCTATCTGTCTACCTGTCTATCTGTGGTGCAGTGTCATTCAGTGTAGTGTAATTTAGTGTAGTGGAGTGTAGTTGTGTAGTTGTAGTTGTAGTGTAGTGGAGTGTAGTGTAGTGTAATGGAATGTAGTGAAGTGTAGTGGAAGGTAGTGTAGTGTAGTGTAATGTAGTGTAGTGGAATGTAGTGTAGTCTAATGTAGTGTAGTGTAGTGTAATTTAGTGTAGTGGAGTGTAGTGGAGTGTAGTGGAGTGTAGTGGAGTGTAGTGGAGTGTAATTTATTTTATTTTAGTTTAGTTGTTTAGTGTAGTTGTTCGTTGTCTTGTAGTTTATTTTAGTGTACTGGAATGTAGTTAATGTTTCTGCCTTTAGTTTAGTGTAGTGTAATGTAGTGTAGTGGAGTGTAGTGTAGTGTAATGTAGTGTAGTGTAGTGTGGTGTAATTTAGTGTAGTGGAGTGTAGTGGAGTGTATTGTAGTGGAGTGTAGTTGTGTAGTTGTAGTTGTAGTTGTAGTGTAGTGGAGTGTAGTGTTATGTAATGTAGCGAAGTGTAGTGGAAGGTAGTGTAGTGTAATGTAGTGTAGTGTAGTGGAGTGTAGTGTAATGTAATGTAGTGTAGTGTAGTGTAATTTAATGTCGTGGAGTGTAGTGGAATGTATTGTAGTGGAGTGTAGTTGTGTAGTTGTAGTTGTAGCTGTAGTTGTTGTTGTAGTTGTAGTTGTAGTGTGGTGGAGTGTAGTGTAATGTAGTGAAGTGTAGTGGAAGGTAGCGCAGTGTAGTGTAATGTAGTGTAGTGTAGTGGAGTGTAGTTGTGTAGTTGTAGTTGTAGTGTTGTGTAATGTAGTGTAGTGTAGTGGAGTGTAGTGTTGTGGAGTGTAGTGTAGTGTAATGAAGTGTAGCGAAGCGAAGCGACATCTGAACCTCCAAAAATGGTCCGAAACCCTGGTGTTTTTAACATTTTGACTTGGAAATGTGTTTCACGCCACGACGGCGTGCACTTTTTCGACATCTGAACCTCCAAAAGTGGTCCGGAGCTGGTGTGTTTTGTGCATTTTGACTTGGAAATGTGTTTCGCGCCACAACGGCGTACACTTTTTCGACATCTCAATT